ACTCAGTATCTCCTGTAGACTGGAAACTCATTCTAGAAGCTTGATTAGATTATTTAAGGGTTTTTGTTTTCCCTGAGACTGATCAATGGGATTGGGTGGGGATGGCCTGGTCTCTTTCACATGCAGTTCCCCAGCACCTTTCATCACATGGTTTTCATCTTCCATGGCTAACCACTGAGTCACTGGCTTCATCATGGTCTACAAAATGGTGACTTTCCTAATTATATCATCCCTTCTACGCAGAAGAATTTTGAGATTCTTCTATATAGACGTTTCTCTCATCCATTAGTGCTATTTGGTTACCATGAATGGCAGTCTATATTGGAGAAGCAGGAAATTTGCTTAATTCTTTACTTTTCTCCTATTGGTTAATAATTTTCAGTATAACAACTTGGTCGCACACACGTCTTGACAAAATCAAAAGGTCCAGCCCTGGCCAGGCACGGTGGCTCAAACTCCTGTCCATAAGCAATCTTCCTGTCTCTACCTCCCAAAATGCTAGAATCACAGACATGAGCCACCATGCCTGGCTATCTGTACTTTCTCAATATGAAGTACATGTTTTAACTGCAAATGATCCTTAATTAGGGGAAGAGATTTCCAGAACAAATGAAACTAAGGTAGATAAAATCAAAGAAAAATTAGCCAACTCAATTCAGCCAGCTTGGCATGTTAATTCCAGAAACACTAGAATAAACACAATCACAAAACCACCAGTGAAGAACGGGCATGATGGCTCACATCTACAATCTCAGCACTTTGGGAGGCCAAAGCAGGAGGACTGGTTAAGGCCAAGAGCTTGAGACCAGCTTAGGAAACACTATGAGACTCCCCATCTCTACAAAAAATTTTTAAACAATTAGCTGGGGTGGCGGCACACACCCGCAGTCCTGACTACTCAGGAGGCTGAGGCCAGAAGATCTTTTGAGCCCAGGAGTTCAAAGCTGCACCACGCTATGACTGGGCCACTATGCTCCAGCCTGGTGACAGAGTGCGATCCTATTTCTAAAAAAACAAAAAACAAACAAAAAAACCACCAGCAGAGACACTCCTAGACTCAAAAAGAAAAGATACAAGCTTGGTACAGAGAATAATTTCAATATGGGGAACCATATTTTTCCTGAATTCACATTTTGGCTGGACTGACAGTTTGAGACATATACAAAGGAATTCCATGAAGCACCTGCTGAGAATGTTTTTCATTTTAGACAAAATTCTAGTTCATATTCAATATAAACTATAAATTTTCTATAAATCTAGAGGAGAAAAATCCTACCTAAACTGTCAATTGGCTTACCCATGGTTCCTTGCTACTACTGCAAGTGCACTCAATGGACACCCTTCCTGTCCACTTTCTTCCCCATGTCCCATTCTCAGTGCAAGGCAGTTAACTATTGGTGGAAGATGTTCTCTTAGGCTTTTATGATGAAAAGGTCCTGGCAGTTCTGTCATCAGGCAGGTAATACTGCTGCTGCCTTAGGACACCCAAGAGAACACGAATGGGAAAGGAAAGTACCTACCTCAAGAACCTGGTAAGAAAGGGCAGGGACAAATATTCTGGGACTGTCCCAGTGACCCTGTTTCCACCTAAAAGTGTTCCAATCAGAGGAATAACTTGCTGCATATTTCTCTCTGATGTCAGCTTCATACATTGTTGTCCTCTGCACTTCAGAGAAGAGCTAATAGTACCTTTCAAGCCACGATGGAAACAATAATAGTGATGATGATGACAACAACTACCTGAGGCACAGTGCTAATCACACACACACTAATAATCACTTCTGATCTTCATAAGAACTCTGGAAGGTGGGTGGAAAGTCCATTTTATAGATGGGCAAATTGAGGCTCAGAAATGTTAAAAGATTTGCTCAGGGCCATACAGGCAGTAAGTAGGGTCACCTTCTAAACCTACGTCTTCTAACTCTGTGCCCCATAATTTACTTCCGGGCTGACATACAAAACAAACACTATGGCAGGCACTAGTCAACTAGTGAAACATCATAGCTACAACTCATTACTCTAACAGCAGACTGTGAGGTGATGCACCCGGCTAAGGGGCAAAGTCACTGATGAGTACAGACTGGACAGACTCCTGCCTGTTCCAGAGCAGAGTGGCAGAGCACACAGTTGGCAACCACAGCTCCCGGGCATCAGTATCTGCCAATTAATAAGTAAACCCCAAACCTGGCTGTAAATCAGAATCACCTGGGGAGCAATAGACGCATGCACTGGCCACCTTCGGGGGTAGGAGGGGGATCCATACGTTGTCCTAGGTTTGCAATGGTCAAGCATTTGAATACTCCCGAATTCAGGGCTTTCTTCACCCACAGTCCTGGGCTGAGCTCCTGAGTAGAGGCCTTGCCTAGCCAGTCAAGTTCAGCAACATAAGGCCACAGATTCCATTCCCCAGGAATGAATGTTAAAGAGCCTTTTGGGGGCCTTACTTATAAAACCCTAAAAAAATAACAACAGGAAAAAAATCCAAATGCCTGGCCATTTCATCTGAATTAGTGAACATTCTAAGAGAAACCCTCACTGGCCTACAGATAAATCCCCTGGCAGCACATATCTGGGGAAAAAGGAAAATGTTAAGTCTGTGGGCTGACAACTGGCAATCGCATGTTGAAATTCATTTGTAAGTCAGCTGTTTGAAACTTAGAATAGATACAATAGATTCTAAAACCCACCAAGAGCACTTAGTTTCCAGATTAGTCTTAGAAAATTTGGGCGATTATGTACAAAAAACATGGTAGTATTCCAGCTATCCTAATCAGCATTTCAATAGTGAGAGCCAAGTCAAATTCCAAACTACAACAAGTTTTCCCCCATTCCTGGCTTCAGCGGTCCATGCTGGTCCCAGGAAATCTGAAAAAACAAAGTACTGCCGTACCCCAGTAGCTTACTAGGAACCTACTCCTTTCTCAGGGTTGGTTATCTTCTCTAATTGTCCTGACCTGAGGCACAAAGGGCCATGCAGGTCTAGCGCTGTCTCCTCCAATACCTGGAACATGGCGTGAAGAAGAGCTCAATAATGTTCAGGTTAAAATAATAGCCTTTGACCTTATTTTTCAAACCACTCTTGCCTGAAGTCCTAAATAAAGCTAAAAGTGCTTATGTCATCATGGCATAGACAGTCAGGGTCTGACATTGTTCAACACTTTCCAAAAGAGGGCAAAGTGTCCCTAGCTGTTCTCTTGCCACATCTCGGTCAAGCACTGACCGGGCACACCGGTGGCTGGACAACGTGGTTCTTTATGTAAAACAAACAAAAGCCACAAAAGCTACTTTTGTGTGTGCACAAATATGTACCTGTGCATGTACAGACAATAGTCTGGAATGGCATACACCAACCAGTCAACAGTGGTCATGTCAAGGGAAAGGAATGGGATGGGAGAGGAAAGAAGTTTTATGTTTCGTTGCACGAATTTCTTTTGAGAAGTACAGACCTGCTTTATCTGTATAACTTTAAAAATACTTTACACTATGACAAGCCATTCTATAAACACTTTCAAAATAATAATTTCTCTCAATATAAAATGACCCAAGAAGGTTACTACATGTTTATACCAACAGGTGCAGCAAACTATAGTCCATAGGCCAAATACAGTTAATGGAATAGACAGGGCCACAAGGTAAAATTGATATTTACCTTTTTTTTTTTTTTTTAATTGAGTCAGGGTCTCACTATGTTGCTGAGGCTGGCCTAAATAAATCCTCCTGCTTTGACCTCCCAAAGTGCTGGGATTATAGGCATCAACCACCAGGCCCAGCATTTTTTTTTTTTTTAAAGAGACAGGGTCTCCTTAAATTGCCCAAGCTGGCCTTGAACTCCTGGGTTCTGGTGATCCTCCCACCTCAGCAGCGACTACAGGTGCACACCACCACATCTAACTTTACTTTTATAATTTTAAAGGGTTGTTTAAAAAAATAGTGTCAGAGACCACATGTGGCCCATGAAGCCTAAAATTTCCTATCTGCCCTTTACAAAAAAAGTTTGATAATCTCTGATTTACACCAATGATGCTATTTCTTAAAAAATAATTCTAAGTCCCTCTTACAAATCTCTTCAAAATCACTTTTAAATAGAATAAAAATTAGTCATATTACTTAATAGTCTACCTCTTTTTTTTACAAAACCCAAAGCAGTGTTAGCTCATTCAGCCACCTTAATTATCAGATTTGACTTAAAAGCCTGGTGATTTCAGCCCAAGGATAAGGAAAGGGACATTCTCCCTCCTAGCACTTCATATCCAAGAACTTCACCTAGACATGTAAGGACACATGGAAAAATCAATCTCAAATTAACACTCTGAACAACTAAAAATAATTTTTTAAATCTACTGAACTAACATAAGCAATCAAAGTTTAATAAAACATTTCCTAAACAAGGTCAATGAAAAAGGTCATCTTTATTCTGAATGAAACTTATATTCTAATCTTACATTTTAATCTAGAGCCCTGAAAAACAAGAATATTTCATTGTAAGTATCAATGACCTCAAGATAGACTGTGAGTTCTGCACGGGAAAAAAATAAAAGACCCCAATAAATGTGTTGACTAAGACTCAAATGCATCTGAATGTGAACAGCTGTGAGTTTAGAACTGAAAAAACAATTTATCCTATAAACATATGTAACTTTCTACAAATCAATCCCACATAATGAAAATCCACAAATAAAGCTCTTAATCATATTTAGAATTCCCAATACCCACTAAGAACTTTTTAACAATGTGTTACTTGGAAATCAGGATCCAATTTGAAAATTTAAAGGACAACAACATAAAATATAGGCTCGTTTGTTTAACAGTCTTTTAACCTACTTAATTTGAAATGAAAGCAATTCAGAACGTGGCACACACAAATTTTTTACAAGGAGAGAGTACCAACAGAAAGAGGGCAACGGCTACCATTCCAATGATTTGGAAAAAACTAAGACCATATCTTCACTTACCTCTGGAATATATTTTGCTACCTAAGTATGACACAGAAGATACTCTACCTCAATGTCCTGCAGACTGAATTCCTTCTGATCGGTAAAGTTTGCAGCCCCAGCACTGAGTTCCATCAGCATTTTGGCGATCTCAGGCTTTATGGCCGAGGTCAGCCGACTGGCTGCTTCCATGACGTGCTCCTGCACGTCTTTGAGCTGCATGGCCGCCTTTGAGTAGTGAGAGTTCCTGAACACAGTGCTGAAAAGATCTGTGAGGAAAGTACTGGCACGGCAGAAGACGTTGAGGGCATCCAGGTACTTAGAGATGCCCTGCTGGATGTCGGCGATGGGAGTGGAGTGGGGCATGGCGTGGTGGCAGCTGCCTGCAGCGGTCAGACTGCCCAGGGGGGCAGTGGTGGCTGTAGATGCCAGGGGAGCACTCAGTGCTCGGCCCAGCTCGGGCATCGGGTACTGCTGGTGCTGCTGCACCTTCTGCTTGGACCCGCCAAGCAAGAAGCGCCGCTTGTAGTCCATTTTACTGTCCTGGGCACTGCAGCAATACATACGGGAGAGAGACTGTCCCAGTGACCCTGAGTAGGTCAGGGTTCTGATTCTTTTTTTTTCCCAAAGTGGTAGCTAGGTATAAAAATAGTGGAGTTCTGCAAATCTAAGTTTTAAAAAAGGCATTTCCATGAGGCAGGTGACGTGATCCAATGTAGATGTGAGAAGGACAACAGGTTTATATAACTAATATTTTCAGTGTAGGCAGGACCTCTGACAAAAAATAAAAGTGTGTCCAAAATGCTACATAAGAACTGTTTAGCATTCCACTCTCTCAATAAAAAGATATGCTTGCTGAGAAAAATGTTTACTTATAATTGCTTTGCAAGAATATTTCCATATTTGTATTTACAATGGCAGAAAAATAACTTAACCTTTAAAAATGTAATATAATGTAATACAATGTATCTTCAACATACCAAAAAGTTAGAACCCAAAAACCCACAAGCTGATCAACAGCAATTTAAAAAGCAGTACGGAATTACTTTAAACAAAGTCCTTAGGAAGGAAGATCAAACCTCTGCAGAATTTTGACAGAGCCTGCCTGTCAAATCCATTTACCTGTAAAGCTTTGTCTCTGCAATGCAAAAAATTTCCAAATTTCCTCTAATGTTTTCTGAAAACAAACTTTTTTTAAAAATGGCATTTGTTATTATAAGTCTTCTCCTCCTTTCCTTTTGTTTGCTGAGGTAGCGGTTTCCTTGTAACATTAATAAGAGGTGCTTCCAGACTGGGCTGGCCCTCAATTGTGAAGTCTGAAGCAAGAATGCACAGATGTATTTGTAAGGCCTCTAAGTCATTTCCTGTAAGGGGAAAAATAAAATAAAGTTAGGAAGGCTATAAGACAAGGAGTAATTCTGGAACATTAACTTCTGCAATGCTATTATTCACAAAGGTGGGCTACAAATTAATAAGAAATCATATGATAACCTTACAGAAGCAGAGCTGAACTATGAGATGATTGTTAGAAAATCCCTGAAGATACAGCATAAAAATAATGCTACAAAAGTATGATTCCACAGCAAACGTGGCCTGGATCTGTATTCAGCACTCCCTTATTTCCCCCTGGAAGGCGTCACAGTCTGCAAGAGGACAGGATGAGGACTCATGTCATAGTGAGGGCTGCTGACAAGTCTGGGAGATCAGACTTTATTGGGGGATCAGCAAAGGGAGGGATGACCAAAGAACAAGAGAAATCAGGAAGTTGTTTGAAAAAAAAATCATTCTGAGGTAGGCCTGGATCGTAGGATAGGTTTTCAACAAGTACAAAAGGGACAGGCGGGGCTCACCAAGTGAAAGGACTTCCACAGCAGAGGTCCTCAAGCAGGACCGCACAGGTCTGCTCAGGATACCTGGCTGGCCTAAAGCACAGGCTACATGAGTCGGGTTCCTATCAGCCTCTGGTCACAACATTTTCATACAGCAATCAATACGTAAACTTGTTTTATGTGTGTTCTGTTTAAAGATACCTTATCTAACATATACTGTTGATTCATTCATCCATTGATACTGAACTCACAGCCAACAGTGCTGTAACTCATGCCTAAATGAGGCTCATCTAACACACAGTTTCTCCATAAGGCACATCACAGCCCTCTGGAGCTTAGGAACACTAGACAGCACTTCAGCATTATGTTTAGGGGCCATTTGAAATAATGAAATTGCCAACAAAAAGCAGAAAAATGCAGAAAGTATGACATCAAATAGATGATGAAGAGGACACTGTTTACAGTCTGAGAGCTAAAACACGAAGGCAGAGCATGCCTTATTTGATTTCAGCTGGGGATGTGCGTGTTGGGAGACTCAAATTTTTCGCACTCTGTGCATGTTCTGAAAATGATTACAAAAGCCCTAAGTACTGATCTTGGGTTACAAATAAAGTTTACCAAGTAGGCAAATACTTGTAAATACAGAATCCACAAAAAAATGAGGATCAACTATATATCTAACACTAATACCACTTGAAATATTTATATTCCCAACATAATGGGTTACTCCTTAAAAGTCTAAAATACAAAAATATCAACCTATGAAACAAATAATCAGAGGGTTCCTGAACATCTTAAAAAATACCCAGAAGACCCTTTAGGTAGTGAATCTTGCGTATATTTAGTATAGTACTGTGACAATTCCACTTCACACAGCCTTTCAGGATTTCATACAATTTTTTGTCTATTGGTTTGAAACAGTCTTGCTCTGTTGCCCTAGCTTGAGTGCAACAGCATCATCATGGCTCACTGCAACCTCAAACTCCTGGCCTCAAGTGATCCTCCTGCCTCAGCCTCCCAAGTAGCTGGGACTAAGGTGTGCGCGACACCCCACTAACATACCGTTGGAAGTCAAGTGATGGGTGCATGAGGTTCATCATATCATTTGCTCTAATAGTATATATTACTGGACATTTCTGAAACAAAATGTTTAAAATGCACACAAACATGTACATACACATGCACATAAGCACCTGGATTTTATTTTTATTTTTTAAAAGTTAAATTCTTCCAAATGCTGTCTCAATGTTTTTCAAATGCTTTCCTACCATATTATGCTGCCTGAAAGGCTAAAATATGTTCAATCCATTTAAGGGCATTTCTTTTCCTTATTTTCTTAAAAAGAATTTTCACTGGAAAAACATTCTCCATTTATGAATCCACTATTCATGCTGCATGGAAATAAATACGAATTAGGAAAGACCTCAGAAGTTAGTGTAGCCAAGACTTGTAAGATTTAAGTAATGTATTCAAAAGTTTTAATGCTACTTAAAATTCTCAAACACATAGCAAAAAAAGCATTTTTAGTAGTTAAGTCACATCTTTTCCACACAATAATTTGCAAAGGTTCTCAATAAATTAAAATGCAACTCGGACATGATTACATCATTTAAAACATTCATTTCTGCAATCAGAGTCATCAGCAATTTCTATTTCAAACAGTAAAGAACATGCCTAAAACCAGATCAAGATTTAGTATAAGAGGGTTTTCTTATACCCATAATTGGCAAGATACGAAAAGTGGTCAGTCGTCCTGGGAAAATCTCCTGAAGCACTTCCCTTCAGAGAGGCAGATACCGAAGTGAATACAAGAGGTGTCTTGGGAGCCTGCCTAACTCTGTGAGATCCTGGCTCTGCCACTTACCAGCTATGTGACCTTGAGCAAGTTCCTTAACCTCTCTCTGCCTCAGTTTCATTGTCTGTAAAATAGGGATAATAACAGTAATTACTTCCCATATAGTCTAGCAGTTAGGAAAATAGAAAGAAAACTTTAGAAAAAGAAAACAAAACAAAAAACGCAGTAATTACTGTTATTGAGTTAAATGCGTTCATTCACATAAAGCACTTAGAATAATATCTGGCATATATTAGGTACTAAATGCTTGATGTTGTTATCATCATCCCCACAAAACAAGCAAAAGTAAACAGGCCTTGTTATTTCTGTTTGTCTGGAAAAAAGTTAGAGAAAGAAGAAAGATGCTGTAAAGTTAGGCAACCCCTGAACCCAACACAAACCTATCTATCCCAGGGTAGGAAGCATCAAGTGCTTCAGTGATGTCTAACTTCTTCTTAAAATGGACCTAGTAGCTACAAGGAGAAATTTAATCCCTGAATTAACTAAAATTTTCCTATTTGACTAAAGATTGACAGCTAGGATTTGTGAATACAGACAACAATTGTAAACCCATTCAGTCATTAAGCCAACAGAGAAAAGGGAGTAGCAAGCAGTCCTCGTGTCAGCAATGGTATGGCATGAAGGAGCTTCCTTTCAAGATGACAGGCTAAAAATAGGCATATGCACTTACCTCCCCATCCTCCCCAAATCCCAGTGATATAACAGTACAGACATTCATTCATGAGGGAATCACAGCATAATAGTAATGAAAAGGTCTGAGGGCCACAGTCTATTTAAATACTGGCCATTTTCTAGACGGCAGAGAGAAAGCGGAGGAAATTGTATTACAAGACAGACCAGAGCAAAGCTGGCCACTTCCTAGGACATGCAAGGCCAAAGGAGTGCAGAGAGGCAGAGCCCTTTTCCCTGCAGGCACTGGAGAAATGCCCAGCTTTGAGTCAGCAGGTACAAAAATCAGGAGTGGGAAACAGAGTAATCAACCTGATCTCATTTGTACTTTCCACTCCCAATCACTCAATCAGCCAACTCCTAGCAAGAGGACTGCTGGAACAACAGAAGGACCTCATGCCAATTACCAACATAAAGAGGATACCAGGCCAGGCCTGGTGGCTCACGCATGTAATCCTAGCACTCTGGGAGGCCTGAGGTCAGAAGTTTGAAACCAGCCTGAGCAAGAGCGAGACCCCGTCTCTACTATACATAGAAAGAAATTAATTGGCCAACTGATATATATAGAAAAAAGTAGCCGGGCATGGTGTCGTGTGCCTGTAGTCCCAGCTACTTGGGAGGCTGAGGCAGCAGGATTGCTTGAGCCCAGGAGTTTGAGGTTGCTGTGAGCTAGGCTGATGCCACAGCACTCACTCTAGCCTAGGCAACAAAGTGACACTCTGTCTCAAAAAAAAAAAAAAAAAAAAAAAAAGAGGATACCAGACAGTGAAGGAAAACCAAGAGCACAAAAAAGGACAACTAAGAAGAAAAGCTGACCAAACCAAAGAAAAAAGATATATTTTAGGTCCCAGAAAAACACCTGGAAAGAATTCTGACTGGTATCCTCAGAGGGATTTGAAAAGATAGTGCATCCTTTATATTTTCTTTTTTTTTTAAATGGTCTTGCTCTGTCTCCTGGGCTGGAGTGCAGTGGTGTCATAATAGCTCACTCCAACCTCAAACTCCTGGGCTCAAGCCATCCTTCTGCCTCAGCCTTCCAAGTAGCTGGGACTACAGGTGTGCACAACCACACCTGGCAAAGATAGTGTATCCTTAAAACAAAGGCAAGTAAATCATTATGGAAGCCAAAATCCAGAAAATTCTTGGAAGTAAGAAATATAATTGCCAAGATGAAAAACAAAGGAAGAAATAAAATAGGAATGGAGTAAGGTATAGTGGACAAAAACATACACACTTTTATTTTTTAAAACAAGCAATGGAAGAATAAACCAAAAACCAATAAAAATGTTTACCTATTAGGTACAGAGAACACCAGAAAGGAGGAAAGCCAGACTTCTTTCAATTTATCTGACTTTACAGTATCTTTAAACCTTGTAAATATTTTATATAATTACAAAACAAATATAAATAAAAAAGAAAAATATCCCTAAAAATTAAAAAAAGACAGATAGACCTAAATTATCAAATTAGTGGCATAACCACACAGAGAAGAATTACTTCAAGTTTAAAGCCCTGTTTTGATTGTACCTCTCTGGTGTTACTGTCAGCAAATGAGAAGAGACAAATATAAAATCAAAGATATAAAAATTTTTAAATCCTTTATCTGAATTGGAAATATCAGTCTGAAATCATAGTTTATCCTTTTCTTTCTAAAAAGCATGTATTCCCTAACTTTACTGAAGAAAAAAAAAAAAAAAACAACTAAAAGACTTCACATCCCAGTTGCAATGAATGACCCTAATATCACTTCCTACTAAAAAGAATCAGAGCTCTTTAAGGAAATGGCTTTAAGGAAATTTCTGGGGTCAGAAACCAAAAAGATAAGTCCCAGACTTCTTGTTGGGCCAGAAAACAGGGGACTCATGTCAAAAGGACCCAGAGTTAACCTGAAGAATAATAAGCTCTATTAATGGCCAATAATGGGACAATTTAAGTATCAAAAGAAAAAATAACCATGTGAGAGTAAAAATCATTAAATACATAAAAATTAATGAGTTCAGACTGGGCAATTATTTCTTGGATATAACACCAACAGCACAGGCAACAAAAGAAAAAAAACAAATAAACCTGGCTTCTTCAAAATCAAAACTTTTGTATATCAAAAGACATTATGAACAGAGCAAAAAGGCAATGCACAGAAAAAGAGAAAATATTTGTAAATCATATATCTGAAAAGTAATTAATATCCAGAATATATAAAGAACTCTCACAACTCAATAAAAAAATCCAATTTATTTTTAATCATCCTGCTCAAAATGTCACAAACAATCCAATTTTTAAAATGTGTAAAGGACCTGAATAGATTTTTATCCCAAGATATCTACAAATGGCAGTAAGCATATGAAATGCTCAACAAAACTAATCATTAGGTAAATGCAGATCAAAAGCACTATGAGACACCACTTCATAACCATTAGGATGGGTATAATTAAAAAAAAAGAAAACAGAAAATAAGTGTTGGCAAGGACATGGAGAAACTGGAACTCCGCATATTGCTGGCAGAAATATAAAATGGTACAGCCACTATGGAAAACAGTATAGTGGCTCCTTAAAATATTAAACATATGGCCAGGCACAGTGGCTCATGCCTGTAATTCCAGCACTTTGGGAAGCAGAGGGGGGAAGATCACTTGAGGCCAGGAGTTCGAGACCCGCCTGGGTAAAATGGCAAGACCTCATCTCCACAAAAAATACAAAATAGGTGGAGGTGGGGGAGGATGGCATCTGCCTGTAGTCCTAGCTACTCGGGAGGCTGAGCCAGGAGAATCACTTGAGCCCAGGAGCTGGAGGCTGCAATGAGCTATTATGCTACTGCACTCTAGCCTGGATGACAGAGCAAGACCCTGTGTTAAAAAAACAAACAAAAAAGGGTAATTATATGGTATGTGAATTATATTTCAATAAAGCTGTTACACAAAATAAAAAGATGAATCACTCCATAAACAAGTCCCTCTTCAGAGAAAAAAAAAAAAAAAAACACAGAAAATGTTCTATCCTTTCCAATCCACAAAAATGTAAACCCAAATATTTACCCTTGATAAAGTGGAGACACTACAGGAAATTCTTTAGGCAGATTAGTGAAGTTATTGTCTATGAAGTTCAAAGCCCAACCATTTCCATGTTTTGAGTCAGTTCAGACTGACACAAACCATATTTAGAAATGCACACCAGAAAAATGCTTTGAAGAATTTTATTCTCAACATCCATAAATTTAAAATATCTACCCAGGCAAGAGAAAATGCCTCAAAGATTCAGTCCTCTGTTCTTCCCTCCTTAGAACTCTACTTTTTTGCCTCCCTTTATCAGTTACCACATTAAAAAGTGAAGCAACTCTATAGGTTGCTACTATGAAAAGATGCTAGTCCTCCTAGCTCTCCTACTTCTGACCATTCTTAGTTGCTCCTTTGAGCCACTCCTCCTCTGACAGACCATAAGTGCCGTGGTTCCTCAGAGTTCTATGCTGTGCCCTCTGTTTCCAAGAGCAACATATTTTCCCTGGGAGGATTCCCAAACCCATCTTTCTAGCTAGACCAGATCTTTCTCCTGTGCTCCAGAACCCAACAACTGCCTTATTGGACAGGTCCCCAAATCAAGTGTCCAAAGCCAAGTCTCAAGTCTTTCAGTGTTCCTTCCCTAAGAGAAAAGTATCACCATCTGCCTACTTGAACAATGCAGGAACCTAAGAGCTACCCTTCACTCCTCACTCTCCTTCACATCCAATCCATCATTAAGTCTTATCCTTCCTGCCTTCTTAGTATCTCTCAAGTCCTTTCCCTTCTACCTTCGCTGCCATACCAAAGCTCAGACCATCTTTACCTCTTGCCTGAATTACAGAGGCACATCCTGAGTGATCTTCCAAATGCCTGCACTGCTCCCCTCTGGTTGGCGTGTGACCATTCTAGAGCCAACGTGATCACGCCACTCTCCTGCTTAAAATCCACTATGGTGGTTCACTACCCTTCCCAACTTTCTCACACCATCCCCCCCACCCACTTCTTACCTGTGCCATGTTCCCTCTTTACCACCTGTCTATATGTTCCGTTCCCTCTGTCTAGAAAGTTCTCTTGATTTACCCTCATTCTCCCTGGATATCTAACTTGGACGTCACTTCTTCCTTTTTTTTTTCATCTTCAAAAGTACCGGGAAGAGACGTCACTTTTCTGAGAAGCCATTTTGACAAAGACTTTGACAAGAACCTAGGGTCCTTCTGTGTGCCACTGTAACACCATTTTTAGGCCCATCTTTTCTTTTTAGAGGCAGGTCTCCCTCTGTCACCAAGGCTGGAGAGATCAAAGCTCACTGCAGCCTTGACCTCCTGTTTAGCCCCATCTTAACATTAGCTTCGCTGTACTGTAACATACTGCATCACAACTGCCAGTTTCCTCTGCATTTCCCTCCTACCACCAAGCCCCAGGGTCACTGAGCTCATTCAAGATAATCAAGAGCGCTAAGCACACTGCAAACATTCAATAGATAATGTTGAATGACTAGCTCATCCTCTGTATTTATTTAGTGGTATCTCTGCACAGCATAAGCAGTCACCCTTACAATCCACAGAGGTAGTAATTAAGTGTTAGAAATAAGGTTCTGCTTAAAAAAATAAATAAATAAGCTACTGAAGATATGCCACATTCACACAAGTACTCAAAACAGGGCACACCTGTCATCCTAGCACTCTGGGAGGCCGAGTCGGGCAGATTGCTCAAGGTCAGGAGTTCGACACCAGCCTGAGCAAGAGCAAGACCCCGTCTCTACTATAAATAGAAAGAAATTAATTGGCCAACTAATATATATAGGAAAACATTAGCCGGGCATGGTGTCCCAGCTACTCGGGAGGCTGAGGCAGGAGGATCGCTTGAGCCCAGGAGTTTGAGGTTGCTGTGAGCTAGGCTGACGCCATGGCACTCTCTCTAGCCTGGGCAACAAAGCGAGACTCTGTCTCAAAATTAAAAAAAAAAAAAAAAACAGACCACTCACCAAGTGGCTACATGTCAAGCATTATACTTGGAGCTTTAGATATATAATCTCATTTAAGCCTCTCTAGAACTCTAAAACAAAAAGAGCTGACATTAACTGAATGTGTACTAATTTCCAGGCACTGCAAATTAGGTAACTTTACACATTATCTGATTTAATTCTCACAATGACCCTGTGAGGTAGGTGAGGCATATAAAGAGGTTAAGTGAGTTCTTCAGGTTCTTACCACGTGGGTAAGGCAGTAGTCATCCACAGAGCTGGATGTGGGCCTGGCAGTCTTCTGCCAGAGGCTGAGCCATCACGGCACCTGTCAAATACCTAGAATATGACATTCAGTTTCACTCTTAGGAGACAATTTAAAGCTCTAGGGTTCCTGGAATTGACAGAAAGTTGAATCAAAACAAGGAAAAGTAAAATGATCTCTCTTCAGAAGATCATCCGCCATACCCATTGCTAATGATTTCCAAATTCAACTCTCCAATCTAGACCCT